GAAAAACCATCGTGTTCACTGTCTCAGCAGCTGTACATTTCAGAGTTTGAGTTCCCTTTCTGGGTTATCAGTGTATTGAAATAACATCTTCATGGAAAATTCAAACAATTTTTTTTCCGCATTGTACTATATCAAAGCTTCAGTGTGTAAAATCACTCACTGAAAAACAAAAAACAATAGCGCCATGCGTAGGAACCTCCCCTGGGTGGAAAAATTGAAAAAATTTCAAACAAAGAATTCAGGTTACACTTCCATTTTTGTATCAAGTTAACTTTTCATTTCTCCTGCTTGAAGTTTGCTTTCAGCTTCTTTCGGTTACTTCAAAAATAATCCCTTTCCAATTAGGACATTTCGAACCTGTGCACATGCAAAACTACTCAGAGACCATTTGAAAGGTTTCTTTTAAACAGCCACGACATTATTCAGATTATTCAAACCCTGCACCGCTCATTCTGCTGGCAATATATATTTACGAGTCACACTCTTACGCAGCTTTTCTTTTCATGTATTTTCTAAACCAACCAACGACCCCTGCATAGAAAGTGCAGCATATAATTTCTCTTAAACCCACAAGCATGGCCACAAGCACCCGAAACTACTAATGGCTTGAGCTTGACAATTTATTAAGTGACACCGCCTTAGCATCACAACAAACTAGTTGAGATTTCATTGTTTTGTACCGGACATTTGATTGGCTGGATTTGAAAATGTTGGGATCTATTGTTGCAGTTCTGCCATCTGATTGGTTTTCATTGTCTGGGTGGCCCCGGTTTCAGTAAACACACTGTAATTAGATATTCAGTAAAAGAGGAAGATGAGATTAAAACAATATGTGTGAAAATCCACTTGATTACAGAACAAAGCTGAAGCATGCCATGTCTATACTGAGCTCGAAATTAAAAGATCCTCAAGTCACCATTTGGTGACTGGGTGGTAAAAAATAGTCACCAAATGCAAACTTATAGTCACCAGATCGTAAAGTTAAATAGAAGAGATACAACCATAGGTATACATGACGTACTCAGTGCTCAAGGGTTTGCAATGCATTATAAGGCGATTTCAAACATGGTCAGCCATTTGGAAGTTTTCCGATGTGAGAGAATCATTTCCAGCAAAGCAAAAGGATAGATTCACTCTGTGCATGCACTATTTAGAATCAAACATGGCAATCAAAGAATCGCAGGTTTGTTTTGTTATATCTATTCGAATGAATTGTATCTTTCATCCACCAGTAAGGTTGTTTTCTTTTGAAGTTAAAAGGTTAACAAAAGAAAAGTTGAGTCACCCACTGGCGACCAGTTCTTATGAGCCCTGCCATAAAGCTTGTAACCTTTGAGACAAATATCTTACTGTCTCCAATATATTTTATCTCTAAGTATGCATATTGTCTTTGCACATCATTGTTAGGTCTAAAAGAAAATTGTATTATAACAATACTGTTCAACTTGTCCCTGCGTTGAACAAATAATTACCTAACATTAAAAAAACAGTTTTAAAAAACATAACAATGAAGCTAATTTAATCATGAGCATGAAGAAATGAAGCATGCAGGTACAGTAACATGTGATAATTTGATCATGACTATACATGTGCTGCAACTCAGCTGTCCCCTTATATTGAGTGATTTCTACATCTTCTTACGTTCAACCTTAAAAACTTATTCACCTCAATACTTCAAAGAACACACATCCTACACTCCACATATCCATCTTGTGAGTATAGTAACCATCAGTCAACAAACATTCAGGAGCACGATACCTAAAACCAAACACCAACACAATGACAAGGTCTGGTCAGTGGCTGGACCCATGGTGATTATACTATCATTAAGTTACAACACTGTTTGTACAAGAAAATCCAATAAACCAATGTGGGAGACATCCAACACTCACACGGGTAAAAACTGATTCAGCACAAGCATTATGCCTTATAATGTCTGCTTTGCAATATCTGGGCTGTGAAATTGTCATAGATAGTGTGAAAGCACTACTGACAGTATGTAATAAAGTTCAGGTCTTCAGCATGTTAATGAGGATGTTCATTACAGTTCAAACTAGCCAGTCACTTTCAGGGCCATCATTAAGTTTTGATTCACCAGTAGCCTTCATCTTCACACCAGTAGCAAACTTGTATCTTTTTGGGTGATTTGTATCAACTTCGAGGGCCCATCAAACATACTCAGTCATAGCAGCTGTTATAGGTTATGGCCCTTATTGACAGCCCTGACTTTTCTTCCATGTACAACAACCATCCTTCAAACCCCTTTTTAGAGTGGTTCAGAGGAAATGAGTTGTTCCATTTTATCACTGTAGATTCATTCTTTGTTTAGACAGAAACTTGCAGTTGATCCAGTGAAGATTGTTAAAACATTTTCTCATGCAACATTAGCAGGGTGTGTTTCCCATCCTTATAAGGACTGGTTAAGTACCACTACCTTACCATCTTGTTGATATGTATTCTGTGTAAGGCTGTTTTGAGTAAACACTACGACATGATCCAAAGTCTGCAAGTTTTACAACATCATCCTGAAATTAAAGCATTTAACACATATTAAGTTTTAAGCAAAGGACTTTTTGGTTTTCTAATTGAGCATCTTTAAGGGAAAGGGGATAGAATGTTATCAGAAAAAAATTGGGGTTCAAAAACTGTTTCGGTTCACAACTTTGTGAAGGGACTTTGCAGCTTAATTGTTTATCAAAATGATTGACTATGTGGTGAACTAACTTGGCCATGTTACATCAACACATTTGTTTAATTTTACTATTTCAATTGAGATATTGAGATTCATTGTATTGGGTACTAAAAAACTCACCTTGATTAATATATTTTCTGGCTTGACATCTCTATGAAATATTCCATTCCTACATTAAAATAAAATAAAAAGATTATTCCATGAAACAAGTTAAGCAATACACTTGTCCAATGCCTCTTTGGTAATACATGTATGTTATTTATCATCCCACTGCAGACAGTAAAGCATAACTTGTGTGAAAGGGTAAAACAAATATGTTACTACTTGCACTTTTTGAGACTGGTTTAACACACCGCTGTGTGAGAGTCACGATAGCCTAATGCTTAGTGCGCTGGACTCCCGATCAGGTGGTCTTCATTTCAGCTCTGACAGCACGATTGTGTTGTGTTCTTGGGAAAAGCACTTCACACTCACAGTGACACTTATCACCCAGGAATATAAATGGGTACTGGTGAGTTATTGGAGCAACCTGACAGAAGGCTGAGCAGTAACCTGTGAGGGACTAACATCCCATCTATAGGGAGTAGCAATATGCTTGTACTCCAAGTAGCTTCATGCTACAGAAACCATAGTTAGTGTTAAGAGCTATGAGTCTGCTGGGCAGTTCCTAAGAGGTTTTACTTTTTGACACACTGTTTGTGCTCCTCCTATATACATTCTGCCACATTTCATGCCATAAAATATTGCCTAGTCAAAGGATGATTTTTCAAGAAGAAAAATGCTGGATACAAAAATTTATCTCTTGTCAATGTAGAGTACTACAGCACACACAAATATGTATCTCCTGTTCACATGTATAACTTACTTTCCTGAAAGACAAAGTACCTTACCTATGCATATGGTCAATAGATTTACATAGCTGGTACATATAGTTCTTGACTTTAACTTCAGATAAATAGTGTCGTCGTCCTAAAGGGAAGACAAGAGCATACCTATTTAATGTGTTGTAACTTTGCAACTTCACCTTTTAGAGGTTACCTGGGAACAAACAAAATGTTAAATAGGCAACTTCAAAATACAGTACAACTATTAAACAATTTTTACTAGCATTCAATACCTCGTATCATTTCATACAAGTTCATATCCATCAGCTCACAAATCAAAGCCAACGCTCCATTCTTCTTGTCACTTAAAATTAAAAATGCAATTGAGAAGTTAGCAATTCAAAGTGCTTTCTTTTTTTTCGCTTACCATAGGATAAGATGTGGACAGGCAGCCCCTGACTACAAAGGTTCACCCTATAGCCTAAGCATCCAGTTGTTTAAATATTAAATATTAAAAGGCTGTGGCATAGTCAAATGGTTAGGGCGTCAGACTTCAATTCAATTCCTCTGCCATGCTTAAAAATAGCCAACTGGTCTTCCTCCTGCCATCTGGGATTCTTAACCATGTTACATTCATTAACAGTATCAGTTTCATTGTTTGTTTTTACTGGCCCTGAGAAGCACCATCCAGGAAAAAAGTCAATTAAGATATTTATTTATTTAAAAGTTTTAATATATTTAGCTGGCTTTTCCTGTATACATGTATGTTTTACGTTTATATCTACATTAAATATTCACTTAGTCAAAAATAGAAATTCAATAAAATTGGTTACACATAATCAATAGCTGTGTTAATTAAAGCATTGTATTTCCCACACAGAGACAGAGACATAACCATGGTGAAGTTGATTTCAAGTATAACAGATCTAGCAAAACTGTGTTTAGGTATCTAGCCTGTTTATTTCATTTTTACAATAACTAGACTAGCTTGTTGAAGCTAATACATATTACAACAATAGATTCTGGAACTGTGTGAACAGCAAAAGATCAAAGAATGGCAATTATTCATTGGACACAAGTTTTTAATTTGAGAAGTATGCGACAAAACCATGTCAGTGTAGTGTTGCCCGTTGTCATTTTTAACCAGTTACAGGGTAGCAGATATTGATGGCAGTCTCACAAATGGACAGCAGTTTTAATTCTATCTGTCAAACTTGACAAAAACCAGTACTCTTAACATATTCATCACTGTTTATGGACAGTAACGGATCAAACAAAAGAGCGATTGTGAGCAGAGGTTTCCTCTCAAGTGTCTCTCATTTATCAGAAAGAGAACTCAAGGGAATCGCTGTCTAAGGCAGAGTAGGATTCAACTGTATCTAAATATACACCATAACTTCAGTTCACATTTGACATTTTTTTTTAAAAACCAGAGCCTGTAGACTTTGTACTGTTTTCTGTCCGAATTTTCAGATGATGAAATAAAAATTACAAGTAACCTGAAAAATAGATATAATGGCAATGTCACCCTTGCGACTAAATATTCGCAGAAAACAACGCAACAAAGAAAAAACAATGAACAGAGAGAGAACTCTATGTCAGAAATTCAGGTAATAAAAATCAGCAAGCAATAGAATTTATTGTTCATTCAAACAAAAAGCTTTTAAACATGTTGAAACTTTGGCTTCAAATGAAATTTGTGAATGGCAATCAATTATCAGGAGTGGCATATTTAAATAAAGTCAGTGCAAGAATAAATATATTTTTACTAAATTTTGTTTGTACATTAAGGTCAAGCTTTCAAACTTTGACAAACTAGCACCATATTTGGTTTGATTTAAGCTGACAAAAGAAAATTAAATGGACATTGTACAGTACGCAACCACACGCTTCCTAAATTCTCAAGGAAGGAACATAAAATTCTCTGTTGATACTACTGAGCTTTCTATTGTTTGCAAAAGATTATTAACCAACCAATAAAAGAGGAACAAGTCCCAAGGTAATATCCATCAGTGTCCATTACATTTGACAACAGTCATGAATAAGACAATATAGCCGGCTGTTTCCTAGTATCGTATGAATATCTCAATTCCAAAATAATAATCAAATCAATCATGTTTCCAATTTCTTTGGGGCCGACAGTAAATGAAATATTCTTAGGACCTTTTCAACAAGAGTATTACGCCGCAGATCACAAAACAAAAGATAAGAGCAATCGTTTATATAGCCCAAGATAGGCTAATGATATTTTGTTTTTCCGGTCTGTGCGGTCGGTGAACCATCTCTGCATGCAAGCTTTAATAAGTGAAATAAATTTTTCAAACATCCCAAATAACATATAGCGGCACGTATTTAAAAACATGTACAAACTTTGCTGCTTGCAATGTTTAGCTAGCTGATTTCTTACGAGTTGCGTTCAGTTTGCATGTAACTATAAACCTTCGGATCACGAACTACGAAACTCGATCCGCAAGCGATCAAAGACGAATCACAAGCTTTAGCTTACTCTGAACTCTCCCGTTCTAAGCTCGAGTTCGTTAATATCTATCTAGCAACAGATGTTTACTTACAAGATAATCTCCTTGAGTTCAACCACATTTCCATGCGGACTCAGTCGTCTCATGGCTTGGATTTCTCTCAGGTTGTTCACTTGATCAATACTGGAAAAAAAACAACGAATAAAACGATTAATACAAAATGTAATAAGACAGCTACTACAAAGAATTAAAAAACACAAAACAATAAATATAAATTATGAAGGTGCTTTATAAAACAAAACTCTGTAATGTTTTAGGGCATGAATACGTGCGGGTTACAGAAAATCATATCTGACAGGAATTCTTACGTCTCATAGCGTTGTTTCATCTTCTTGCAAGCAAAATAAGTCCCATCTCGAATGTCCTGAACTTTTAGGACTTCCGAAAAGGTGCCTTCTCCTTTTTTCCCGAGGATACGGTATTCTGTAGAAAGAAAACAAAACATTATTAAAAGTATGAACTGCACAACGCGTGCTAATTTGGAACGCTATGGAGAGAGTGTCATGTCGGAACTATGAAGCACGTGAACCAGTTCAACACTTACTTTGCATGGCCTTCCCGTTTCCGTGAACCTAAAGAGTCATTGCTTACGAAGATGATGCGAAAATCGTCTCTAGAAATCTTCAAAGATGCGTGTAAAAACGCGATAAAAGCCAGCACATAAATTTAGGAAACGCCAAGTAACTAACAGCTATTGTTTGTTCTACGCCAGCGAGTTTGCGTATTACGTCGTTGCTATAGAGACAGAAGTAAACGACGGGAGACACTGAAATAGCCCATTACATTAGCCATGGTCCTTAAACAGATAAATAAATGAAATTAGCTTATTCACTTTCGCGAAAATAAGGCGTGAACGTTCCCTGGCTGCAATTCTTATTTTCAAAGCTCAGCATCAGGGGAAAATAACACCCGACAACAAATAAGTAGTTTTCAGCTGCAATGATCTTCAGCTAGCAGCTGCATGGTGCTTGTCATGGTGTTTGACCAAGTTTTCGCTCTACATGCCATATTCTCCACTCAACCTTTAAGCACCCTATAAAATGGGTACCAGCAAACTGCTTTCAGGACAGCGCGATCGAACCTGACAAAATAATAAACAGTCATTTGACCCCCCTCCCCCTCCCCCGATTAGGGGATACTCGGGGAAAACCGGGGGTTTTCACTCGATTTAGGTTTCCCGGTAGTAGGGGACTGCACCTTTTTCACGGCTTCGCTATACGATGCGGGATTTTGGGGGGATTTCACTCATGGTTCGCGACCCCTCTTAGAAGACTGGGTTCAAGTTGCATGTTCGCAGAAAACATGCAGGCTGAACAACTGACGTCGAAGAAGGTATGAATTCAATCGCTTAATATCATGTTGTGACTTGACTTCAGTAGTACGAAAAAAATCCTGTGAAAGCTCCAGTTGCTAAAAAAATTCCTGCATGTGCGTGAATTTTTTTTCCCCGCAAGTCGGCGCTTTCGCTGCATTTCACTGACGGTAAAAGTGAATGCCCCGGGTATTCCTCAATGGACGGTTTAATCTTTCAAACCACTTTTTTTTATTATTTTTGGGGGGTTCTTAAGACATACACACCACTTGCCCACCCCCAGTACTAAACCTTACCCTCCCCTGTCAGGATTCCATACCAACTCCCCCCCCCCCTCTCAGATCTATTCCACCTTCAGTCGAGGCACACATCTGTGCCTCGACTGGCACACGAGGCGATAGCTGTGTGTGTCACTGATGTTCTTACCAGATTTTGACGTCTTCTGTGATCTAACAGACATGTACACGCGGCTTATAAAGAAACAAAAAAACAAATGCTAATGAAGTCATCTATACATCTGTCCTCCTGTCGTCGTAAGTAAGAACCAATCCATCTGCGAGAATATGTGTATATAACATGTGTATTTTCACTTGTGGTGACTCGTGATCAGTCGAGTGTGTTTATAGACACGATCGAGTAAGCTTCAGCAATGTCAAGAGACAGGATTTGAACTGCATGCTATCGTGCAATTTTCTCAGAGTGAACAGGGACCACACGGATCGAAGGAGCTGTCTTCATTCAAATTTTCTTCAGGAGTGGTTTATTTACCTTGACGAGGAACTCCAGTTGGATATTCGTGGATCTTTTGGTGCCAAGCACAAATGAGCACCTTTGGATTTTTCCTTCGAGCTAAATTTAAAATCGGACAATTATCCCACACAGATAATTTTTTAGATTGCTGCTACAGAAGACAAGAAGATCAACCGTTAGTGGTTAACTGGTTGTATATGTCCTCCTGGTCCTCCTGGAGAAGACGTAAAACGACGTAAAATCCAAAATTGTGACGGTAATTGCCGTCGGTTTTTAAATCATCCTCCGGCGTAGTCCGGACGGAAAACATTTGATGCGTTTTCAGATAGACTTGCCACAAGTCGACCTTTGCTTAAAGGGACACTGTCACCATTTTTAAATAGCATGATTTTGGAAATCTCAAAAACATATATCGATCATTGGAAGCTGAACAATAATGGTATTATTTTGTAGAGCAGTACTCGACAAATGATTAGAACCCATTAGGAAGTGAGGATGGCTAACGATGGCGAGGATGGAAACGGATTGTGATATGGATTTTTGAAAAAGCGTCAGGATGTCAGTTTTTCAAAGGTTCAAGTTTGGCTCAAAAATCGTTGAAATTTTGTTAAAATGTTGCTGCAGTGTGGACTTTCTTCAAGAAATTGCTTTTAATCATTTAGTTAGATCTAATCAATTCTTATTACATAAATTTAGGGACCATTTCGAAAATTTATAACAGTTTTGAGCAAATATATCGTGACAGTCTCCCTTTAATCCTTACCCTATTCATCTCCCTCGAGCGAAGCAAGAGGGCAATTTTCGAGCAACCATCAGGCCAGGGAAAAGTTATTGGAAACTGACTTTTAGAAAGTCTAGTTTTCAGAGTGAAACCTCCGTTCTCAAATTCCTCCGGCATTGTGTGGACGGGACCTGATTGGTTGAGAACTCTCCGGTGGCCCCGGTTGAAAGATCGTTGCAAAATTCGCACGCGCGAATTTTTTGCCCTCAAAAACTCTTTTCACAAAATCTTAATCATTGAAAAAGCACCCCTTTGCTTATTAAAATACAGCGTTTTGACGTTTTATTGCGGTGCTTGGTCAAGGGCCTCGCTTATTCGAGGACGGTGCATGTCATAACAACTCCTACTCTTATTCAAGTTGATAGCAACAACCTATCCTGGGTTTCCAAAAGTTTTTCCTGACGCTCATTCGGCTCGATGCTTCGGGTTGGCTGAAGCCCGAAGGTACGAATGGCGAGGCCGCGAGAAAAATCTTTTTCGTGCGGGTCACAACGTAGGCGAAATAATTAGAAACCGGACTAAATGTCTCTTGTTTTGATCGGAATCAGGCAGCTACATAGGGGCGTAAGCCCCCTTTAATGAATGCCGTTTAAATGGATAATGTATTTCGATTAAGGTAGCTTTGTGAGCGAGTGGGTTTTCTTCCTCCAAATTTCTTTGTAGCGGGTTTAGTGGGAATGAGGCTAAATAACGAGCGAAAGGAGTTTCGGACGAGAGGGAATGGAAAACTATTTTTCCTTCTCTGCACCCCCTCCCCGCCCACCATCCAACATGGCGGTGAGTTCCCTCAGTGTTCACTGCACAGTATGGTGGTCCATTGTTATCATAGCAAAACTACCGGCAGATGCAGTAAAAAATGTGAAAAAAAAATTAAATAAACAAATAAACTTTTTTTTTCCGCGACCGAGATCTCGGTAACCGGGATGAAAATTTTCCCATATGAACACTCCAGCCCGGGTGACCAGGACGAAACTTTTTTGACAAAATAGCTTCGCTTTCCCAACATAGCGGCCAAAATGGATAACTTTTGTCTTGTATGTACTTCCACTTCAGAAAAACGCGGATCACCAAAGCTACGAGAGTCGCGAACAACTCAAGTTTGTGTGACACCATTTTGGTTTTGTTTCTTGAGTTTCATCCCGGTCGAAAGGGCTGAAATTTCCCGTATTAACAGACCACAAAATTCGTCCCAGTAACCGAGCCAGGCCTGTTACTCGGCTCATATGAAGAGGCCCTGAGCGAAATGATTGCGATATGAAAGGTCCACTGCAGGCGGTGTGAATTTTTTTATTCATTATTTCTTAAATTTATTTTTGTATTTTTAATTATTCTTTCAATTCACTTTTAAATTTTATTATATTTCTATTTTTGTCTTGTTTTTTTATTTCATTATTATTTTTTTAACGTTTCGAGGAACGTTTTGAGTCATTGTCGTTTAGAATTGTGTGATTTTCCCATAAAATATATAGTACATCGTTCCATGCGCCTGGTACTTTCTACCTATCGAGATTTTTTTCCAACGAACGCACGTGATTAGGCATAAATGGGGTAAGATCGGCCCATCCTATCTCTTTAGCGACCACGGTGACCTATCTTTTTTATTGTATTTTTCGATACAGTGCTTGGTAGGGAACATTCAGGGAAAGTTTTATTTCTGAGGAATTATCCTAAGAACTAGGGTGTTTAAAAGATAGTAATGCTGCGGCACATTATGTTGGTCGTGACATATTTTACGCAGTGATTCATCTACTTCATGCATGCTGATGCATCGATGGCGACGTGTGACAAGGGATCGTGACAAAAAAAGCGCATAGTGATCGGCTGAACTATGTTTGGACATAAAATGATACACATCAACCTCCCGTTTACGAGGTCGGGAAAATCGAAATATGTGGAAATTGTAGGAGCAGAAATCTAACTTATAAATTCTGTACTGGTGCGCATTAAATGTCTCTAGAGTGTTGACAGGAGACTGTGTCGAGGAGGCGTCCATCGCGATGTGTGAAAATGCTAAAACTTTTGCTTAAATTCATGTTTGGATGAAAAGGAATAGATCGTTGCATATATGAAATGAGCGTGTTCTACGGTTTTCGTTTGTTTTAATTATTCTACAAGCTTTAGTAACGACGATTTCTCTTCATTAAGAATTCGACCAAGGAGGCGAGACCTCTAAGACATGACATACTAAGTTTAAAATTAAGATGTCACAATTAATCGTCCAAATTTACAAACTTTCACATACTGCATTAAGAACAAAAGCAAGAGTTGTGAGAGTCAAGCACGATCTCCTTCCCTTCGTTTTACAGGTAAAACCACTAATCTTTCTCACTGGAATCATAGTTAATGGATTAACTATGCTGAAATCCACGCAAAAAAGGACGACGGCTCGACGTCCTCGTCTTGTTCGTGGAGCAATGCACTCTGGTAAAAAGTGGCACAGTGCACTCTCCCGCATTCTGGTAAAAAGTGATGAATATTAAATCCTGATTATGTTGCTGCTCGCTCGTTACGCTCGCTCCGCAGCAATAAAGTTCATGTAAGAAAACTCTCTACTCTAGTATCGAGTTAATTTCTGAGTCTCTCAAACAATGCTTAATCATAACCAAAACCTGCTTTTGATAGTTTCTTATTGTTTCTGCTTGTTTGGCGAGTTCGCAAAGTTTTTCAAAGGAAAGTCTGACGCGTACATTTGCATAGTGCAGCGCGTGCACTTTCAAGTCCGAGTCGATGTTTTCAAGTCAATGATTTCTTTCGTTATCTTTTGTGCTGAGATGCTGCAACAATTTTCACCAATTGCAATGTCAAAAGGCTACTAACATCATGTGTGTTTTATCAACATAGTGAAATTTACGCTGCGAAAATATAATAGAC